CACATCTATCAATCGAAAGGAGACTGCGATCACACCAGAGGCCACAACATCTTGGTCTTCATAGATTCACTGATAGTTTGGAAATCTACTTTACAGTAATATAAGCATGATCTACTTTCCGTCTCTTCTCTTCAGAGCACGCATAGTCGCTAGATTCTTGCTGTAGCAAACCTTGCAAGAAGAGGATAAAATACAACAAAATATGGATCAAATTTTCGCTGATGGACAGCCATCTGAGACGCCATTTGAGCAGAGTTATCCTTCAAACCACTTTTCTGTTGACTCGACAAGAGCTTGGCTGGATCCTTACTGAAAATCTCACCAGTAAAACCAAAATTTCTATCTGGGCACCTGGACTCAACTTAATTTGGGATATACCAAAATCTACTCTCTACTCTAGAATGAATTTATTCCGGAGTTTAATTCTCGCTCCGAGGCTCTTTGTCTGCTTCCTGGCTGAAGTCATACTTCTCAAGTTAAGCCATGAGCATCGCGATCTCCAAGTCTCGGGATCGAACTCAAGACTCGGGCGCATATGTGAGTGTGCCTCGAGGTGAGATAGGCAGTCTAATAGCCTCCCATGCTTACTTTAGTCTTGGCGGCAACACGATCGGAATTCAAAGCCAATTTAAAATGTCTCCACTGCAGCCATTTGCTGCCTCCTTCCAGGCACCGGGGCTGTTGAAAGAGAAGAGTTCGCTCAAGACATCGCGACACGAATTGCCTCTGCTGAAGACATCTTATGGAGCCCTGAAGAATCTCTATCTGAGGGTGAATATGTTATCCCACGCGGCTTTCTCCTCCTAAGCTCACAATATACTTCCAAACGTTTGGCAAGGATCGCTCGAGAAAGGTCACCACGACCCTTCAAGAAGGATGCTGAAGCCGATATGGTTGTCAAGACTTTGACGAGGAGAAGAGGCACAAAGTCTGTCTGAGTTGAAGAGCTGGAGTCAAATCAGATTCGGCAAACCGGCAAAAATATTCATCTTAAATGAGCCAGACCTCAAGCCAGGCCTTGCAACCACACCAAGCTGACTCCTCAAAGCCATTTTCGGAGCGTTTCCGGACCTCATCCGTCGATATCTCCCGATCACAATGCAACCTTAGCCGGTCTGAGAAGGTATAATCAAAGATCCGATGGAGGCCATGCATCCGGTGGATTGACAAATCACTTTCCGGTCAGAACTACCCTAAAATGTTGCACCTTTGTGACGGATGATGAGAAGCCTTCTCTACAGGTCCATTGCGAACTGGCCCCATTCGGAACCGGTGCCATTCTACAGCAACCATATTACTTTTAGCTGCAAAATAAAATTGCGATTAGCACCAAAATAAGTCGTTTATCGAGTCTTGGGCGGACAGGAGATCATTTTTCAGTAAGAAATTACTCACAAAACTATGTGGGTTTATGAGAACAAAAGTTGGGCTTGGAGAAATTTCTTGGTTTATAATTGTCAAGCTCATTTCCATTTCGACTGAAAGGGAGCTCAACAAGGTGAGTTTAGGCAAAGGCACTCTTTGCCTTTTACTTTCCCTTATATCAAACAATAAAAATACAACTAATGCTGCTACTACTACTACTAATATCAATATTAATAATATAAACATAAAAAACAATAAAGTAGACTTAAAATTGAATTTTAAAATATCTGTTTGCCTCGAAACTTGACTTTGTTGACCTTGGATTCGCAAACTTTTTAGACAGTGTTCCACTTTGGAAGCATAGTTTTATTGGGTAACTGAATCTGTGATCATGCTTATCCACAGCAGAAATTGACCAAGAGTCAGTTTGAATAATTCTGACCTTTTATCAAAACATCGTAATCTAAAGTAAGTAAATAAACTCACAGATGTAGTGAGGAAAGCTTGGGGCGCTATCTACATGGTGATGAATAGAACGATTTTGGAATTATCTCACAATGAGGGTAAATCCAAGCCAGAAGATGACGGCAGATTCAGTTGGTTCTACTGGATATGCTGGTTGATATTGTCCATAAGGCGGTATTGTTCGATTCCTCGAAACCCAACTTCTCTTTGCATAAACTCAGAGTTTTGGCATTGTCGAGCTGAAGAAATGCCTATTTACTTTCAGCCCAAGCCTGGCCGTGGAAAAATATTCACAAAACGCTGCATTCTAGGTATGATGTGGAAAGACTTTAATCATCAATTGACATGTATATGCTCGTTGGAATATGCAGTCACTTTGAAGACGAAATCATGCCGATCCTGATGGGAAATATGGTCAATTCAACAAAATTTCACTATTCTTAATGCTCATATTGAAAAGTGAACGCTGCTCTCCCAGCGATTCGGTTCGACTTTATAATAGGCGCTGTGAATAAATAGATATCAAGGCCAAGTGACAAGTTAAGAAACATGACTCAATCGGTTTAGCAAACGAAGGGAAGCTATCTGGAGGTGCAGAGACGCGAAACCTTGTAGTAAGGGGAGTACGTACCCGAGGCCAGAGCAACCTAGGAGACTCCAAAAGGCTTGCTCTCCTGTTGCTGAGCCCAGCTTTCTTTTGTGCGCGTGAGTGTATCTATGCCCGTATGTATGCATGTATGTATATATGCATGTGTGTGGGATGAAGAGACTGATTCGACAATCTCACCAGAAGATGATCAATGAGTTCATTCAGGCTCCTGTTAGCTTTTTCTGGAATATTCGTGCTGGCACCGTCTTTGAAGCATCCTCTTTTGTTTCAATGCAAATGTGCCCGTATTTCGTCTGCCAAGCATATATACAAACGGCATTTGACCTGGGACTCCTTCTTATAACGACGTCAGGTAGAGACTGAGGCAAAATAAAACCAATGAAATGAGCCTAATCTGCTGTACATATAAAACAATATTATTTTCAGGGGAATATACAAATTTAGTAAGTTAACTTTCATGTCCATTTCCTCAAGTGTTCCCACATGTGTATCCATATATATACGCGTATTGCTATGAAATTCCCACAGCATCAAGGCTCAAATGCCTTTTTTGCCTCATAAAAACGTACCACTGACCCTCCAACTACTCTATGCTTATATCTGGTTGGGTCGAAGAGATTGCTCTATGAAATCTGATTGTCGCGGAATTTTTCTCAATCCGTAAGCCTACTACAAATCTAACTTAAGTAGCTCAGGCCTAGGCTTCCTACCCTCATTTTTGTCATACAACTTATTCCCTACTTCTATGATTTCGATGGATACTTATGTTTTGCGCTAAGCAAAAGAGCTCCAATAATCACCAAAATGATAAGCATCGGCCGCCTATCTCAGATCCAATTTCAACTATGCATGCCTACATTACTTAACAGCAGCCCGATGAGTATATAAGGTCAAATCTTAATTAAATGTGGACACAAATGAAGGAAACAACAGTTTTTTTGAAATCTCTTTTGACCCCGAACAGAAAGATGGTGTCTCGAGGGTTGCATCGGCTTTACTCTCATCTTCTGAGAGGCATGTTTTTCAAGTCTCCTTCTCACACATTTTAGCACGAAATCAAAGTCAGAGGATTCATCGTAAACTAGTAACTTTTTGTATAGATATTTTGAGTCTCGAGGAATAAATTAGAAGTTTAATATCATTAGACCGTCGATCTCTTTGCAAGGTTGGGCTAAACGTATTCCTAACTTGTCCACACCTCAAATCGAAAAAGTTGGGGCTGATAGATTAAGCACAAAAGACCTCAGCACATTTTCCTCCGACTACTGAAATAAAATCTTTCATCTGCCAATTTACGAATCCTCTGATCCAAACATTTCACACGAAAAGGAAACTCCCTTTTCATGAGACTAGATTACCATCTATGGTAAATATTTAGTTGTTCAATCGGAAAGTTTGTATTCCAGCTTTGGGACCGTTAAATTAGAGTAAATTCATGAAAATATATAATATCTATCATATATCTCCCTTGGGAATCAGGAGTTAGGATACATAAAATATATTGAAGAACAAGATGTTGTGGCCTCGGCTATGGTCGCAGTCTCCTTTCGACTTATAGAAGTGGGTTGACCTCGTTGTTGCAGATCTTGTGTTCAGGGAGACTATGTAGAACGCACCGAGTCCGAAGTTGTCTGCCATAGTAGTTGTCTGGATTTCCAGCATCTGACAGTGGACTTGATACATTCTCAGACGTTTCGCCGGCATCGTAGTCGGCATCATC